GTTGGGTCCTCGTTTTGAAGAGACGGTGCCCCGCGTTCCTTCCTCCTCCCCCTCCTCCCCCTCCTTGCCTCTGCTCTCGGCGCACCTCTCACGCGTTTCGTAGCCCCATAGGTAGCTCCACCGAAGGCCCCAGTGGGGGTGTTCGCATGCGGTTCCCCCACCCAGGGCAGCGTTTCGTGGCCCCATAGGGAGCTCCACCGAAGGCCCCAGTGGGGGTGTTCGCATGCGGTTCCCCCACCCAGGGCAGCGTTTCGTGGCCCCATAGGGAGCTCCACCGAAGGCCCCAGTGGGGGTGTTCGCATGCGGTTCCCCCACCCAGGGCAGCGTTTCGTGGCCCCATAGGGAGCTCCACCGAAGGCCCCAGTGGGGGTGTTCGCATGCGGTTCCCCCACCCAGGGCAGCGTTTCGTGGCCCCATAGGGAGCTCCACCGAAGGCCCCAGTGGGGGTGTTCGCATGCGGTTCCCCCACCCAGGGCAGCGTTTCGTAGCCCCATAGGGAGCTCCACCGAAGGCCCCAGTGGGGGTGTTCGCATGCGGTTCCCCCACCCAGGGCAGCGTTTCGTGGCCCCATAGGGAGCTCCACCGAAGGCCCCAGTGGGGGTGTTCGCATGCGGTTCCCCCACCCAGGGCAGCGTTTCGTAGCCCCATAGGGAGCTCCACCGAAGGCCCCAGTGGGGGTGTTCGCATGCGGTTCCCCCACCCAGGCGCAGCGAAGGCCCCAGTTGTTCGCATGCGGTTCCCCACCCAGGGCAGCGTTTCGTGGCCCCATAGGGAGCTCCACCGAAGGCCCCAGTGGGGGTGTTCGCATGCGGTTCCCCCACCCAGGGCAGCGTTTCGTAGCCCCATAGGGAGCTCCACCGAAGGCCCCAGTGGGGGTGTTCGCATGCGGTTCCCCCACCCAGGGCAGCGTTTCGTGGCCCCATAGGGAGCTCCACCGAAGGCCCCAGTGGGGGTGTTCGCATGCGGTTCCCCCACCCAGGGCAGCGTTTCGTGGCCCCATAGGGAGCTCCACCGAAGGCCCCAGTGGGGGTGTTCGCATGCGGTTCCCCCACCCAGGGCAGCGTTTCGTAGCCCCATAGGGAGCTCCACCGAAGGCCCCAGTGGGGGTGTTCGCATGCGGTTCCCCCACCCAGGGCAGCGTTTCGTGGCCCCATAGGGAGCTCCACCGAAGGCCCCAGTGGGGGTGTTCGCATGCGGTTCCCCCACCCAGGGCAGCGTTTCGTAGCCCCATAGGGAGCTCCACCGAAGGCCCCAGTGGGGGTGTTCGCATGCGGTTCCCCCACCCAGGGCAGCGTTTCGTGGCCCCATAGGGAGCTCCACCGAAGGCCCCAGTGGGGGTGTTCGCATGCGGTTCCCCCACCCAGGGCAGCGTTTCGTAGCCCCATAGGGAGCTCCACCGAAGGCCCCAGTGGGGGTGTTCGCATGCGGTTCCCCCACCCAGGGCAGCGTTTCGTGGCCCCATAGGGAGCTCCACCGAAGGCCCCAGTGGGGGTGTTCGCATGCGGTTCCCCCACCCAGGGCAGCGTTTCGTAGCCCCATAGGGAGCTCCACCGAAGGCCCCAGTGGGGGTGTTCGCATGCGGTTCCCCCACCCAGGGCAGCGTTTCGTGGCCCCATAGGGAGCTCCACCGAAGGCCCCAGTGGGGGTGTTCGCATGCGGTTCCCCCACCCAGGGCAGCGTTTCGTGGCCCCATAGGGAGCTCCACCGAAGGCCCCAGTGGGGGTGTTCGCATGCGGTTCCCCCACCCAGGGCAGCGTTTCGTGGCCCCATAGGGAGCTCCACCGAGGCCCCAGTGGCTGCTCTCGCATGCGGTTCCCCCACCCAGGGCAGCGCTTCGTGGCCCCATGGGGAGCTCCACCGAAAGCCCCCGTGGCGCAGTTCGCATGCGCTTCCCCCACCCAGGGCAGCGTTTCGTGGCACCATAGGGAGCTCCACCGAAGGCCCCAGTGGCGCAGTTCGCATGCGGTTCCCCCACCCAGGGCAGCGTTTCGTAGCCCCATAGGGAGCTCCACCGAAGGCCCGCCCCGGTGGCGCAGTCCGCATGCGGTTCCCCCATCCAAGGCAGCGCTTCGTGGCTCCATATGGAGCCCCACCGAAAGCGGCACCCACAACGCGTTACCAACAATTGCTTATGGTTGGGTCTTTCGCCAGGATCATTTTCGTTCGGGCATCCGAAGTTTTTGCAAGAGATTTGCGCATATGCTCTGGAGAGCGGCGTTGCCAACGCAGGGACGCATGCGTTCAGGCGGGGCATGGCCCAGGACATGGCATCCCAAGGGTGCCAGTTGTGGGAGATTTTGCGAGCGGGCGGACGGAGGTCGGCGAGCTTTTTTATGGCTTACATGAAGCCGCGCGAGCTCGAGACTGGGGCGTGCGCTCAGTATGTGGCCGACCACAGCGACAGTGAACCAGGGTGCGCGTAGGGCGCCACAGTGGGGTCGTCGCGCCCAGCCCACACTAGGGGTGTAGGCCTTGGGTTGGGCTGGGGAATACGCACCGTTAAAAGCCCCTTGTTGGTGCTGGGTCGGTGTCGTTTGTGTGTGTGTGTGTGTGTGTGTGTGTGTGTGTGTGTGTGTGTGTGTGTGTGTGTGTGTGTGTGTGTGTGTGTGTGTGTGTGCGTGTGTGTGTGTGTGTGTGTGTGTGCGTGACGCGTCACTAGCGCAGCTACGGAAGCCCGCGGCCGCTGCCCCCCGCGGCCGCTGCGCCCCCCGCGGCGCAGGCCCCGGGTGATTCAAGTCTCGTTTTCTGCAGACGGCGATGCTGCTTCGTACGGCCCGGAAAACGTAGGGAGAGTCACGGGGGGCCTCTGCATGCTTTCTCACATTGTTGCATTGTTCTCATGTCACGTGCATGCATTCTCGTGTTGTGGCACTTGGCGCTGCTTGCATTGTTCACTCATTCGCAGGTCATTGCGTTGCTTGCCTTGTGCGTGCGTTCGCTGGTCATTGCATCGCTTGCCTTGTGCATGCATTCCTCGTCGCCGCAAGTTTTGGGTTCGAACCGCAGTCGGGAAAGCATCAGGGCCAGGGTCCCATCCCCTGGTTCTTGAACCCACCCACCCGCCCCGGGTGCATGCCCTGGCCTGGGCTGGGGAATATGCGCCGTTAAAGCCCCTTGTTGGTGCTGGGTCGGTGTCGTTTGTGTGTGTGTGTGTGTGTGCGTGACGCGTCATTGGCACAGCTACGGAAGCCCGCGGCCGCTGCTCCCCGCGGCCGCTGCGCCCCCCGCGGCGCAGGCCCTCGGGGATTCGAGTCTCGTTTTCACTGGGGCCTTCGGTGGAGCTCCCTATGGGGCCGCGAAGCGTGTGAGGGGTGCGCCGACATGGGACGGCGGCGCCATGCGAACCTTCCGACAGGATCACGCGTAAGACGCGAAGGGCGCGAATCCCAGGAACGGAGCAATCAAAAGGACCAAACAATTGTTTCGCCCGAAGCATCCTCGACACAATGTGCAAAGCAAGCGTTTCGCTAGGACATCCGCAACATATGACTTTCAATAACACGCGTTTCGCTCGAGACAAAACGACAAGCGTTTCGCTTGTGTGTCATCGGTCATGATTTCCAAAACCAGCGTTCGTTCGTGACGTCCTCAACATTGGGTCCGCTTGTCCTCTTCGACCTTCTGATTTATCGCGAATAAATCCGCCAGCCCTCTTCGAACCCTCCTCGAACTTGGCGCCGGCGACAGGCTTACCATTCTAAAAGAGAAACCTGGGCCTACGCCTCTCCCGGGAAAAGCGCCCGTCACGGGAATTTGTCGTTTTTTGTGTTTGTTTCCACCACTCCAGGTTTTGGGGAGGAGAGCTATAGAAAATTCTCGGCGCTTCGCGTATCCCCGCCAGCCCATCCACAGACGATCAGCAGAGGAGTTGGTGAATCAGGGGCGGCAGGACGCATGCAGTCGCGCAGCCGTTTTCGGGAAAACAAGGATCACACATAGCTTCCCGCATTGAAGTCTAAAATGAAATCGGTGCAAGCTACGTGGTGCTTCGATGAGGGGTGATGGGTGTTTTCGATGACTCGTAATGGTTGTTGCACCGATTTGTATATTAAACTCGCGTGCGATTCGAAACTTGGGGCCATATTGGGGCTCTCTTGGGTTTTTTTTGGGGCCCTCTTGGGGCCCTACTGGAGCTCTTTCTTCGGGCTCTCTTGAGAACCTCCTAGGGTTTTTTTTGAGCCCTCTTGGGGCTCTCCTGGGGTTCTCTTGGCCCGCTCTTGTGGCTCTTCTGGGGGGCCTGGGAGCCTTCTTGGGGCTCGTTTGGGATGCCTGAGGGGCCTTTGGGGGCCGTCTTGGACCCTTTCGTTCAAAAAAAAGGCGGTTCCTTAATTCGGACCCCCCCATCGGAGGCTCAAAAGTGCCGTCCTGGGGCCCTCTTGGCCCGCTGTTGGAGCGGTTTGGGGGCCGTCTTGGGGTTTTTGGGGGCCCCTCTTTGGGCTATTTTGGACCGTTTTGGGGGCATCTTGAGGCCTCGAGAGCTCATCGGAGGCGAAAAAGCGAGAAGACAAACAACAGTGGTGTTCATTAGGTTTTGAAGGATTTTTGCTTCTTGGGGGGGTCTTCGGAGGCCCCGGACAGCACTTAAAAACGTCTTGGGGCCGTCTTGAGGCCTCTTGGACGTGTGTCGGAGGCTATCTTGACCCATCTCCCGCTATCTTGGGCCATCTTGGAGGCCACCTTGCGCTCTCTGATGTCCTCTTGGAGCCATTTTGGGCCATCTTGGACGCTGCTATGGGTCGGGCCCCCCCCCCGTCCAAACGCATGGATGGGGGGGGTAAACCTCCCAAGCAGGGAAAGGAAGGAGGTTGGAAAAGGAAACGCCCTAGACCACCTGCGCCCAGAGGGCTGGTGGGATTCTATGACTGGGAGGTTTTTCGGGGGTTCTCCTGGTCTTCCCAGGAACCCATCATCTCCCTTCCGTCCGCAGCCGTTGTGGCTCAAGAAATATTTGGGGCAGTGGAGATCTCGACTTTAGCAGCGTGTGGTTGCCGGCCGGCCAGTATCCCACCAGCCATGGTCAACCCGCGCGCGATGTTTCAAGAAGTTGAAGCAGCTCTCACCGAGCAGTGGAAGGGCAAGGTGGCGCGTCCCGAGTTGGACTGGCTGAGCTCGGCCCCCACGCGATGCCCAACGCCAGAGTTGCTCGCCTTCGGCGACGACCAGGACGCCGACGCGCACAAGGAGAGCTCTTCCGCGCTGCCGAGGGACGGCGACGAGCCAGCGCTCCTCGAGATGGCGCTGCCTGAGAAGGTCCTCCTCCTCCTCCTCCTCCTCCTCCTCCTCGTCCTCCTCGTCCTCCTCCTCCCCCAGATGAGGTCTGCGATGCCGGCGCCGAGGGTGGCCCCGCTCAGGCGGCTCCGGTCCGAGGCGTTCTGGGAGCAGAAGGTGGCTGCCGCCCGGCGACCGGCGTGCTCGCCTTGGGAGCTGGGCGTGAAGCAGCGCCGCCCGTGCCTCGACGAACGCGGCTGCCTCGGACCAGCGGCGGTCGCAGCGCTGGCCGAAGGAGGCGCCGAGGGCGAAGGCGCCGCTGGCAGCCCCAGGAGCTGGGCGGGCGCCGTCTCCAAGGAACTGCGCCGAGGGGCGCGCAGGCCCGTTGCGCCGCTTGCCCCGCCGCTTGCCCCGCCGCCAGGGTCGCCCTCAGCAGCGCTCGGGGCTGCTCTGAGGTCGCGTGGCCGGTCGTACCGCCCGGTGGGAGCCGGCGGGAGCGGCGACATGGAGTGAGCTGGAGGAGAGCTGAGGTGCCCTGCCAGCGTCTGGCCGCGTCCAGGGCGAGCCATGCATCCGTCTGCCTCAGTGGCAGCCTGGGGCCTGCTGTTTCAGGGTCCAAGAATTCATTTTTTTTAATTGGCGAGCTGTCCTGCTAGCATCTGGCGTTGCACAGGCAACTACCTCCGAAATCGGGGGCGGGGAACTCACTCAATCGCTCATGCCGTATGCCAGAGCGCGTGGGCGCAAGAAGAGAGGGCCGGCCAATCTTTAAAGAGTTGTGCGCTGTATTGTTTTTGCCCATCTTTCAGGACCTAGCTATTAGGTATTATGGTGAGAAAGGCGGATGTACGTGTAGTATTCTCCCCAGGCATCTAGCTTGAAATCCATCCATCCTTCTTCTTTCTTCAGTGTGTTCCCATGCTTCGTCATATTTGGAACATTCGGCTCAAGCTGCCGTCATCCATTTATAAACCAGCACAGCCATGTCAGGCTGGTTTTGTTGGTAATCAGTTGTCCATCCGGCGTCCTCAACTTCACGGCATTCCAACCGAGTCCTCTACGGGCGCGGAACCATGCACTCTTTCCTTTTCATTCACTTGTGCCGTCCTCCCGTTGCAGAGACAATACCTCCGAAAGCGGGGGCGGGGAAGGACAAGCAAGTTCGTGATTTGCCAGTGTTTGGACAGTGACCAGGGTGTGCGATCGCAGATTCGAGTGATGACTCGTCGCGTTAGCGGTCCTGGGATGTGTCTGGCACGACGATGGGCAAGTAAGGACGCCTTCTGCATCGCGCAGTAGATGCAACGCATGGGTTGCTATACAACATGTCTGCATCGTCTGGCATGACGAGGGGCAGACAAGGACGCCTTCTTCATCGCACCGTAGCCGCAATGCATGGGGTATAAAGGGGTTCGAGCGGCTTTACACGCCGGTCGCTGAAAGTATGTATTTTTGGATTCCCAGATCCCAATCTACTTCAAGCGCCTTCCTACTTCAATAATCGACACGCTTTCGCTGTGTTTTGTTATTCCCTGGGGGGGCCTGGACCCAATCCACTATATCCGCCTTCCTACTTCATGTTTCTACCTACTTCTTCCGACCGACGTGTAAAATCCGCTGGCGTTTTCCATCATATTTTTCAACACCCACCTTCCCTCCGCGGGGCCAGCAAGCTGCGGAACGCCCTGGTCATGCGGCACTGTTTTGGACACCCGCCATCCTCAAGGGCTCCCTCGAGGGCGCGAAGTTATTCGCGCTTCGCGGTCCTCGTTCCTTCTCCCCCTTCTCCTCGTCCTCCTTCTCTCCCTTTGGGGGGGCGGCGCGAGAGCGCGAAATTTTTCGCGCTTCGCGGAGCGCGAAGCGCGAAGTTGGGAGCCCTGGATCCTTCCGCGGGTCCACGAAAAATGCGGAGCGCGAGCTGCGCTGAGCATCTTACTTCCGCGCCCACCCACTCGCCAACCAGCCCCCGCCCCACTCGGCGTCCGCAGTTTCGTCGGTGAATCGTCGTCGTCGTCGTCGTCGCCGCCGTCGTCATTGTCGCGTCGTCGTCGTCGTCGTCGTCGTCGTCGTCGTTCGTCGTCGTCGTCGTCGTCGTCGCCAGGCCTTGCGCGCCCCCCCATTGGGATTCCGCAGGTCTTCGTCGTCGTCGTCGTCGTCGTCGTCGGTCGGCGTTCGTCGTCGGTCGTCGCTGTCTTCGACGCCGAGTCTTTCGTTGCTCCCGCTCCTCCATGGGGGGGTGTAGCGACGCGGTTGCAATTTCTCGCACAGTTTCGGGGTTGACACGTGTCACCCGCTGGTCTTGTCCAAACTGAATGATCTGCTGTTGGCTCCCACAATCCCAGTTTCATGATTGGTCTTTCTCATGCGGTTTCGGGGGTGACACGTGTCACTTGCTGCTTTTCTTAGCTTAATTGGTTCCATGCTGGCTGCCAGAAGTCCAAATGTGCAATTGGTTTTCCTCACGCGGTTTCGGGGGTGACGCGTGTCATCCGATGCTTTTGTTTGAGGTTGATTGACCCCATATTTGCCCCAAGACTACGACATTCACACTTGTTTTTTTCTCACGCGATTTAGGGGGTGACACGTGTCACCCGTTGTTTTTCTGAGGCTGATTGACCCCACGTTGGCTCCCAAACTTTCAATTGTTGTTCCCACGCGTTTTCGGGCGTGACACGTGTCACCAGCCCAGGCTTGTTGACCCCATGTTGGCTCGCATAGTTTCTAATTCGCAATTCGTCTTTCTCAAACGGCTTCGGGGGTGACACGTGTCACCCGCTGCTTGTCTGAGCCAAAAGGATCCATGTTGGGTCTCATAGTCTTAAATTCTAGACGCTTCGCGTCTAGCGGTAGGATTGCAGTTGTCTGCGTGCGCTAGGCAATTTTCGCCTGCGGTTGCGACAAACATATCCCTACCAACCCATCCAGAAACGATACCCAGGCGAGTTGAGGTGATCAGGGAAGTGCAGGAGCAAAGAGGGGGACGGTCGAACCGTGCGAAGGAGGGAGGAGGAGAAGGAGGCTGGATGGATGGATGAGGGTGTGGGGAGAAGGAGGATAAATAGGATGAGGAGGATGCGGAGGAGGAGGAGGAGGAGGAGGAGGAAGAGATGGAGTAGGAGGAGGAAGGAGGAGCAGGAGGAGGAGGAGGGTAAGCAAAATGGGCAGAGGTCTCTTGGATGCCTCTCGGAGCCTCTTGGGATATCTCTTGGGCGCTTCATGTTGGCCTCTCGGGGCGTCCTGGGGGTCTCTTTGCGGTCCTGGGGAGCTCTTGAGCGTCTTGGGTGCCTCGGGAGGCCTCTTGGGGCCGCTTGGGGTCCTCTTGGGGGCCTCCTGATGGCCTTTCTCGGGGCCTCTTGGGGCCATCTTGGGGCCTCTTTGGGCCTCCTGGGCGCCTCTTGGGGCCATCGTGGAGGAGATCGATCAAAGAAGAAGGGGGTTGGCAATTAGCCTTGCCCCCCTTACGAGGCCAACTTTAGGCCGACACCCTAGTAAAACCAATGATTGTGGCTTCCTCGCCGAGGCCGTTTTGGACCCTCCAATGGGTCGCAGCACCGCCCGTCCAGGTCCAGGGGACGGGGTATGGGGGAGGGGTCAAGCCACCCGCCCGCCCGCAAGCCGTCTAGCTCACTCCCGCCCGCCCTCCCCACACAGAAGTAACACCCGAGCCTCAGCATGTTCAGCGGTAGTCTTTAGACGGGCAGCTACTGGGAACCAAAAGCCGACCCGAGGTGCGCGGCGCTGGGTCGAGGTGCGCCGCGCGTGCCAGGGGCGCCACGCGCGCCAGGCACCCCTGGGGCCCGAGCGTGCCAGGCATGCCTGGTGCGCCAGATGCGCCACGTGCTCCACGTGCGCCAGGTGTGCCGCACACTCCAGCCGCGCCAGGTGCGCCGCGTTCGGGGCACGTGCAGAGTGCGTCAGGCGCGCCTGCACACCTGACAGCGCACATCGGGAAACATGGCGGCCCCCGCCAATCACTGTGCCTGGTGGGCCTGTGCACAGCAGGCCACGCGCCACCGCCCCCGCCGTCCCTGTCAAAAACCACTTGACACTGATCGCAGGATGGCCGCGCATGAACCAGATTTAGCCGCGAGGTGCATGTTGTATTGGTTATTTGTCAGGGATGGTAGCCCTGCGCGCAGCACGGGATATGCTGACACCCCCGCCGTCCTTTTCAAAAACACTACAAAGTGCTCGCGGGCCTCACGAACATGCCTCAAGAATTTGACCCAAAGTGTACTTTGCATGTTTTTGACAGGGATGGTGGGGGGGCCGCATCGGGTTGGCCGCGCATGCTCCAAATGTGGAGGCAGAGTGCGGTTTGTATGGTTTTTTGACAGGGATGGTGGTGGGCGGGTCGTCATGTCGTCATGGTGTCGGCATGGTGTCGGCACGGTGCCTGGTTGGCCCCCAGTCGCCTGGGGGAGGGGGTGTATATTCATAAGGAACAGTGATAACCCCTCCCCGAAGGCAAAGATTGGGGTTGGAAGAGGAGCCTGCCTAGACCACCTACGCCCAGAGGGCTGGTGGGATGTACGATCGGTTTCTCTCACACGGTTTCGGGGGTGACACGTGTCACCCGTTGCTTTTCTGAGGCTGATTGGCGACATGCTGGCTTCTAGAGTTTCGAACTTACAATTGTTTTTCTCGTGCGGTTTCGGGTGTGTCACGCGTCACCCTGCTGAGGCCTCCTGCATGGTCAGGGCTATTTCCCAGTCAGTGCTTGCACTGAAGGGGTCCTAGCGGATATGGAAAGATTTGGCGAAAGTTTCCCGCCGATTTTGGTAGCCAGCTGGGTTCTGGGTTTCTTGTTCCGGGTTCCTTGGTTCCTGGTTATTGGTTCCAGGCCGATTTCGGTGGGTTCCGGGTTCCCGGGTTCCTAGTCGATCCCACGATTCGTTATCGATCTCATGATAGATCTCATTATCCATCTCACTCAAACGATCTCACCATCGATCTCATCAAACCATCCATTGATTGGGTTTTTCTCCTGTGTAATTGCTGACTGTAGTTGCTGGAGCTCTCGACCCCATCGTTTGTATGGTTATCCAGAGTTTCCGACCCCATGCTGCAATGCTGTGTAGCATAGCAGGTAGCATGTGGGCAGGATGAGCAAAGAGACGGAGAGTGCGTCCGCAACCCTCGTTGGCTCGTGCGCTGACAAGGGCCCGTGCGCGTCTGCGCGCGCTCCGACATGGTAGCGGAGCTGCGGTATGCTTCCTAAGGTCCACCGCAGCTCCAGAGGACCTTCGCCGAGCGGCTCGGCAGCCGCATTCTCTTCCAGGTCTGGGGCGCCTCAGCACTTGGCCGGCGCCCCCCAGCGCCACCAGCCGCGGCTGCAGCGCCGCGCCCAGCCTGGTGGTGAGGGCCACCCGTCTGCCCACGATATTGGCCGGAACGCGAGCGCTGCTCAGAGGAGCCGCCTCAGCGTCGCCGCGTGCCGCGTCGGAACGCGGAGGCCCGGGGCCTTCGCCACCGACGCTGGGCCACCAAGCTGATCCCGAAGCGCGACCTGGACACTCTGGAGGCTCTGGCGAGCAACATGGGGCGCGGCGCTACGCTGATCTGGGCATCAGTGTTTGGGACGCGCCTTTTCAGGAGAGCAGGAAACGAATCGCCGCCGCCAGGTCCGAACCGCTGCGGCGTGCCGTGGTGGAAG